ATATATAAGTGCTCGAGAGATTATATCCTGTATTAGAGTTTGGCTGGAGAGTATCATACAACAAGGTATCGACTAGGGAGCATGTTCATTACTACGGTCTCGAATGGACTTTGGTGCAGCAGAAAGTAGTTTTTATTGTCTAACTTGAAAGCCCTTCTGAGAAGCTGAATGCGACTTAAACTTAATATACATGAGTGTATTGAATACACACGTTCTGCAGGAGGCTTCAATATATATATAAGGCATATCCTGGAACCAAAAGTACGGCACACTTGGCGTCGAAGCTTAAAAATATGGGGTTGGTGTATTTGTCAAAGCTCAGCAGTAGCTGCTTATTCTAAGCTACTTGTGAGCGTCTGAGATATGCCTAATATAATAAACATGACAGCATACAAAAACTAGACCCAGCGTATATTGAATGTACATTTATGCAAAGACGCCACGATAGATAGACTGATTTGGTAGGTATAGGTATTATGTCGGTCCAAAACTCCAAATTGAAACTATAATGGTCTTCCTTCAGTTGTGAATGAGGTCTGAGAATTGGTCTGGAGCGCTTTTATAGTTTTTGAAAGCGGCACACGATTCCACCCCCAATTCACCCTAAGTCCCCAACACTCCTTATTTTTAGAATAATAAACGACGTGTATTTAAATATAGAGTAGTAAACTAGTATCCGGTGTGTTTGTGTCGTTTTCTTTCCTTACTTTGCTATTCTATACTATAGGCGCAGGACTTTGTCAGTTTGCGACTGTCGCTTCATTTTTACTACACATACTATATGTTTTTATTGTGTGTCGGTTATATAAGCACTTCCTTGTCGTGTATTATTAACTGTCACCAGAACAACTGTTTTCTGGAAATAAGGAATGTATAACTCCCAGCGAGAACCAGGAGTCCACCAGAGGTCTGGGGCCTTGGGCGGCCAGGCCCTGGGCCTGGATGGTATAAATTATAAATAAATACCAACCCTGTTGAAACTTGAATCACACAACCCCAGCTGCTGAAATCCATATAAAGGTCAAAATTGGGCTCTAATTATCACTATTACGGATTGCAAGGTAATAACTACTTCTGAATGAGCTCAAGCCTACAATATTTACAACTACTGTATATGAGACTGTAGTAATTAAAACACTCACAAGTCTATATATCAACATACTTAGACATACCTATATATACACCGAGCCAGCATGAGTGCCGCAGGGTCTTCCAAGGGTGGCGCACATGCCAGAGCCGGCTCACTAGCGGTTGTCGCTGAAGAGAAGGTGGTTGATCTTAATCAGCATCCTTCTGGAATCATACCCGAGTTGCAAAACATTGTCTCTACAGTCAATCTGGATGTCAAGCTAGATCTCAAGAAGATAGCCCTACACGCACGCAATGCCGAGTACAACCCGAAGCGTTTTGCGGCTGTGATCATGCGCATTCGCGAGCCTAAGACAACGTCATTGATCTTCGCTTCTGGAAAAATGGTCTGCACAGGTGTGTTCTATCGTATATCATATTTATCATGCTTATATATATTATCCACTTGCACTGCTATGATGTACGAGTGTGGTATATGGCACATACTCGTATAGTACTTTGCAGCATACATATATGCGGTGGGTGGAACTTTGGTATCATCTGTCGCTGGGGGAATGATTTTTTGCACAGGCGAGTTTAGTATATCATACATAATCATACATATATGCTATATTAAGCGAGGTTTGATTCTTGATCTTGTGCATTTGTGAGCCTAGGACTAATATGGTCTGTCCAGTTTTTTTTTGCATAGCCTTTATATACAGTATAATCATATATAAGTGTGTTGTACCTTGTTTGTGTATGTGAGTGTAGTGTAAGTAAAGTTTATTATACTTATGTAGAATATTATCTTGTATGAGCGTGCGAGTATCTTTTTCGTTAGTTCTCCAGCAGACTTTTGAACGGTCCACTCTCCAGTCAAGCCTAGTTGATTATACCTACTGGTATACGTCATTACATACGATAGCATGCCGGCTACAATTGAAACTCCAAATATACTGAATGCACATCAGGTGCAAAAAGCGAAGAAATGTCTAAGCTTGCAGCCCGAAAGTATGCGCGGATCATTCAGAAACTGGGCTTTAAAGCTCGCTTTACGGAGTTCAAGATACAAAATATTGTTGGGAGTTGCGACGTTAAGTTCCCCATTCGACTTGAAGGATTGGCGTTCACGCACGGGAATTTCGCTTCGTATGAACCGGAGTTGTTTCCAGGTCTAATCTACCGTATGATGGAGCCTAAAATTGTGTTGCTGATCTTCGTATCGGGGAAGGTCGTGTTGACGGGTGCCAAAGTAAGCAAATATGGTGATGCCCGTGTTGTACACGAGCACACATGTTCAAAAGTTGTATATATATGCCGATTTTGCACGAGTATAGCCTATAACATATTGTATATATATATATATATATGTGTGTGTGTGAATTTATACATCTATTGATCCATCTGGGTTTGGGTGTGTATGTAGGTCAGTGTATGCATATAAATCTATTATATAGACAAATTCGTATATTTTTGTTGACTGTACGTTTTGGGTCACGGGTCAGGTCCGTAACTACCTGTTTTGTCTCCCACCGATTTATGGGTGCTCATTCATTTCCTATTTCGATACTGAATTGGCGCTTATATTTGTATTCAATTGTGTATATTATCAATTGATCGGCTCGTTTATGTGACGATATATTATCTACCTATTCTTAAAGCGTATATGAACATATCTCCTTACTGTAAATGCACAGATGAATCTATTCTAGAATTTTGGTTCGTGTATTTATGTGATCGTACGCATAAAAATACGTTCACTTCCAATATGCTGCATACTGCACAAGACTATCGAGTGCATATAAAGTACAAGCTTGCGAAGCAAATCGAATTGAATTCAGAGTGTATATGATAGAGTGATATCGTATACGAAGTTCGAAGTTAGAATACAGCTCACAAGTGTAGGCAGGTATATTCCAGTACACGGGAGAAGAATCAATTGTACGTAATTATCTCTACGCTGCTGTCATAGTGCGCAGTAGCGTGTGTGTAGTGATATCTCTCTCTCGGCTAATCGATGTTTTCTTGTCCTCCTGTCCGTGTCTCTGTCGCCGGCACGTCAACAAAGGAACGAGAGCAAATCTATGAGGCATTCGAGAATATATACCCGGTATTGACTGAGTTCAGGAAGCCCTGAATGGACAGGCTGCTTGATCCCCCGAAGTGCGTACTGTGCGAATCAGTACCCTACCTGGCGCAGTCCCCACACGTTATGTACACCTAGTTGAGTACCAAGTACTCGGCTATACGAGTGCGCGGGTCGCCTTGTAAACACGCATATATGAGGCGCAGTCCAAAGTCGCACATATAATAGTAGCCTGTCTGTGGTTAGTCTTCTGTATATAGAAATAGGTATGGCCTGGCCGGCCCTATTTTGCCTGGACTCCGGTGCCGGTGGTACACGCCACACCCGCGCTACGGCATATGTTGGTGGTCCGGATAATATCTTGGATTCATATGCGTATCACTCTGGAGATTTGTTCGGGTCAGACCATTGATAGTTTGCTGACGAGTTCAGTGGCACGCGGTATTTGGCTTTTACACAAACAGACAGATCCAGTACATAGACAATTTAGAAAGGATGAGCCGCATTCTCCAAGCTCCACTTACATGTCGGTCAATGGGAACCTAATACAAATGCTGGCCCATAAAAGGGGTACAGTACAGCGAGAAAAAACCCCTCCCCGAAAGTGGCCTGTGAGACGCAGTGCCTAGAAGTTCAAGGTGCAATGTGGTTATTAGCACGCATGTGTCTGCGAGGTCTCAGCAGATATCATCTCCAGTCGCACGGCCACATGACCAGCTATCGGATTCGCTTGAGTATAGAAACCGTGGTGCAATAATCCATGGGCGGTAGACGCTGGTATACTGCAAATACGCCAGAAAGAAGTACATGATGCGGCCTTGAGTGACAAATAAAATTAAAATTAGAATACTTGTCGATCAATACGATACCTTCGTTGTACTAGCTATAAGAGATTGCTTTATATGTAGGTCGTGACTTTTGTCAAGAATAAGGGACTCTTGTCGAAGTCTCTACAGGTATAACTTATCAGTCATACGTATCATACTGCATTTTCACAGCCTACTGGAGTGACTCTATCTTTCGTCTCACTACCAGAGTACATAGCCCACTGAAGTCCTTCTATTATATGACCCTTCCTCTCTGCTCTCTAGTAGTAGTATAGAAGCATGTAAACAAATAATACAATCCGTATAGCGAATATAAAATACAAATACGAACCAGTCCCGCAAATACTTTTTCATGACCCACCACTGCATTTTAACTCTCTCTCTAGTAGAGTAGAGAGAGGGTAAAAGACAAAAAGTCAAGGTTATGCTTTCTAGAATTTTTAGGGTTTTTCAAACCCTACGTAACCCAGTATACCCCCGAATATATAACATAAACTTCGAATATATAACCGTTCACGTCCAACCGTTATGTAGGAGTGACTCTATGGTTGCCCATTTGCCTCTATGGCTTCACGTCCAACCTTTATGTAGGAGTGACTCTATGGTTGCCCATTTGCCTCTATGGCTGCATATTTGGAGCCCTGAGGTTCAAACCTTTGATAACTTTTCCCTTAGTGAGTCCGTTTAGTTTGTACGTTAGGGCGACTACCTTTCCAGTCTTTTGACCCGAATTAACGTTTTGTCTTAAATGTCTTTAAGTTCGAATGAATATGCGTTGACGTTAAACTTTTAGAATTCTCTTTTTTTAAACGTAATGAAGTTAGCAGTAAACCAGTGACACACCCCTCGGCCCACGGCCCACAATGCCACGCGAGCGTCATCACTTTTTCTGATTGTCATATGTCTATGTATAACCTCCGTCGAAACAAACTCTCGAATATTATAAATACAAGCGATCGATTCTTCCAATATATTTATCTATATATTGTGCACTGTGCAGTCTACAGCAAACCAACAATACCTAAGATTGTACAGTTTATAGCGTAACAAAATGCTGGTGTCTGGTATCAAGCATTGTGCGCGCTTTGCAGCCCATTTGCCCCAGAATGTAGTGATGGGGCGTAGTATGTCAACAACATTACAGTATACTTCAACACGAACACGAACTCTATACAAAACACCTGCGGCTAAAGCCAATTATTTGAAGTTATATACTCGTGATGCTCCACTCTGGAGTGGGCGTGCTTTAATATCTACCACTCGTACTCAGATGATGTCGAACCAGGATGACAAGGATGTGGCGCAGACAGCAGCGGATAAAAGAAATATGGGAGATGCTCGAACACTCATTCAGAAGTCTTTGGCCTACTCTGATCGAGGTACGAATGAGTACACGCACGTACATATACACACACACACACACACAC